AAAAAAAAAAATTACACACACGCACGCGCTTTGCGTATTTTCGTCCTTAGCATTCTTTAAATACGCCTGAAATGGAAACATTTTTTTTGAAAAACCTGGAAATATTTCACACTCCTGTCCTCTTTTGGAATGTGTTCTTTTCCTGGGGGTGGATTCCTACCCTTTCATAGTGCACATACCCACTCACTCTCCCACCCTCATACACACGTGAATTTATATATTTTCGTCGGAATGTTGGCCCAAAGAGAGACTGAGGATACAGAAAAGTCCAGGGAAAGGCGCTTTTTCTGCACTTGGACATCTCCTCGTATGGAGGAACCCCCCCCCCCCCCCCCCCCCCCCCCTTTCCCCCTTTTTAACCCAAAAGAAGAAAACATCGGGGGGGAAAGTTTTGTTTGTAAGTGAAACGGTTAATGAATGAATAGGGTCTTGGGCCTCTTATTTCGGGAAAGACAAATGTCAGCACCAGGAATACCCCAGATTTTTTCCTCGGGAATTTGCCGGTGGTGGGCGATTCACCTCCTCTTTACAGGTGTGTGCGCGAGCTTTACTGGATGAGTAAGCTGAATGGACACAGTCCGAGTGTGGGTGGTAGATACCTGGAGAGGTATGGGCACGGTTGTCTCATTACTCTTCTTTTTCTTCGGGGGGTCGGGGGGAGGGGGAGTTTGTATCTCGAAGAATCTATGCACCAGGTGGTTGGAGGGTGCCACTTGTAGGTCAAACTTCTTTACTTTCGCTCTGTTGTTCTGTCTGTCTGTCTTACCTTTCCCCGGTACTAAACGATCTTTATGACTATTAATGTGTCGATGGGCTTCATCTGACCCAAGCAAACGAACGAAGAATGTATGCGGTGCAGGTAATGTGTAATGAATTTTCCACCCCCTGAATCAACGCAACATTCCTATTTCGCAACCAGGCGTATTGTTTCGCCCACTGCTCGAACTCCTGTTGTTTCACATTATCGGGAAATGCATTTAATCTCAGTGTGGATGACCTGGGTTCGAATCCGCATCTGAATCAAGGTTGTGTGGGTCCTTTTGAATTTCAGAAAGGAGTGGGGGAAGGAGGGG